CTCTCTCAGGACCGGTTTCCCTGGTACTGTTGATCCTACTGCAAATGAGACTGTGTTCTGAGCCTTCCGCAAGGCAAGGACTCAAAGAGTATTTTCTTGTTTTAATTAGCTTTATTTGATTTTAAAAGCCCCATGATATGCTTGGTGCCCGGGGGCCTTGTGGATCTGAACAAGTTATTCAAATTACTTTCAGCGAGTTTAGTACCACGTGGGCAACCTTGAGGTTCAGATGTGCTTTGTGGCCAGCAGGATCCCGCAGGATTCCCCCCTCTTCTGGACCTTCCTCCTGCCTTTACCCTTAATCCTTCTGCCTTGCAGCCCCCTGGGGCGAGCTGTGCCCTGAGCAGGGTTCGGTCAGTCTGCGCACCTGCGGCGCTCTCGAAGCTGGCTGGCTTCAAGGAACCTTCACACCATGCCACCGCCCACACTTCTGGACAAGAAGGAAGGGCATCAAGACAAGTCTGAGTGCTGGGAGGTCCCCCAAGTCCCAGGCCTCACTTACTCAGGATATACTCCTGCTCTGACTCAGCCTTGTGGTCTTAGGTTGGGAGACACTTGCCTACTGCAGGCCCTGGAAGCCTTGTCGGGTTCCCTCCTGCTGGGCCATTCTAGGAGTCCCCTCCTGCTGGTCTACCCTAGGAGTCCCTCCTCCTGGGCTGCCCTAGGGGGTCCCCTCCTGCTGGGCTGCTCTAGGGCTCCCCTCCACCTGGGCTGCCCTAGGGAGTCCCCTCCTGCTGGGCTACCTTAGGGGGTCCCTTCTTGCTTGGCTGCCTTAGGGGTTCCCCTTCCGCTGGACTGCTCTAGGGGCTCCCCTCCCGCTGGGCCACTCTAGGGGTCCCCTCCTGCTGGGCTGCCTTAGGGGGTCTCTTTTTGCTGGGCCACTCTAGGGGCCCCCTCCTGCTGAGCTGCCTTAGGAGGTCCCCCCCACGCTGGGCTGCTTTAGGAGGTTTCCTTCTGCTGGGCCACTCCAGGGGTCCCTTCCTGCTGGGCTGCTCTAGGGGTGGTCCCCTTTTTCTGGCCCACTCTGTGGAGACTAGCTCTGCTTCCCTTTCTGCCTGGCTTCTTCGTGGCTGCTCTCCTGTCCTGTTGGGCTGGACAAGCACTGAGGCCCTGCATACTCACTCCCCATAGTCGACCTCTGTTGTGCGTAGATTGGTTTTCCTTCCCATATCACAGGCTAGACACTGTGCCTAACACCAGGGTCCAGAGTGTAGGACTTGGCCCTGCCTGTATAGAGCCCCAGGGACTTGGGCAGGGGGCAGAAGTAAATGGGTAAATAATTATAATAATATGGAGTAAATTGACCGGAGTCAGGTGCAAGGTACAATGTTCAGAGGAGACCATGCTGACTTCCTACAGGACTGGGGAAAGGGAGGAGCTGTTTGAATTGGATCTTGAAGGATGCTTAGGAGTTTGCCTGTGGCAGCAGGGGCCGGCCAGTCTCCGTCGGTGTTGTTGTTCAGTGATGATAAATTCTGGTTGACAGGCGCTGAGTCCTGAGGAAGGATGGTGATGATGCTGGCCTCCCTGCCCCTAGAGAGGTCTGAGATGTTTGGCCCCTGGCCATGGCCCACGTGGCACGTGCTAAATGTGTCTATGGCCACTCCTCAGAGGGCTAGCACCTCCACAAAGCTTCCTGTAATGGACTGACATCTGGCAAGTGGCAGAGCCACTGGGGAAGAGGAAGAGGCAGAGGTGGTCCTGCGACTGCCAGCCTGAGTGCCCAGGGAGAGATGGCAGGGGAGAGGGAGACAGCCATATGGGGAGAAGCCCATTTAGGGGAAATGGTGGATGGAATGGGCAGATGCCAGGGGTAGGGGCCTTAAGGAATGTATGTCCGGTAGGCAGAGAAGAGGGAGAGAGACTGAGGGCGGAGATGACATTGGGGCTCAGAGAATGTCCAGGACCACAGCAGGACTGTGGGATGGAAGAGGCAGAGCTGGAGAACTGGACACAGGGCACGGTGGTCATCTTGGGAGCTGGCCTTCCTGCCCTCCCTCCACCAGCGAAGCCACCCTCTGGGGGCACCTAAGTCAGTGGGAAAGGGGATCTTGTCATCTCTTCCTGAAGACGCCCACCACTCCACTTGCAGACCCTGTCCAAGAACAGGGTCTGCTTCACCCCTGTGCCCTTCACCTTTGCACCCTTCCTACTGAGTGTCTGCTGGATGCCTGGCACTGTGCCTGCTGCCTTCCCTGCCATGCAGGCAGGTGGCACAGGGCCTCCAATCCAGGCTCATCCCCAGGTCCCCAGCCACGCCTTCCTCCTTCCCTCAGCAGTGCTCCCTGGCCTCTGGCCATCTTATATAGTTTCCCTGTCCTGCCCACCCTGAGCGCTGACCATCCCAAACCCGGGTTAATGGTGCAGGGGCCTTCTTTGAGGAAAAAAGGGCTGTCTGACCGGAAGAGGGGGGAGGGCCGACTTGGTGCTATCCCCCACCCACTTGTCTGCCGCCGGGTTCTTGGTTGTTTGATAAGCAGACACTCTGTGCTGGGTAAGAGCTGTACCCAACCTGGTCTAGACAGCCTTGGGGGCCTGCTTTACTCTGCGGTGGGAAGGGGTGTTCAGTCTCCTGCCTGCTTCAGGGCCGGGATCACCTGCAGCAGGCACCATATAGGCATCATCGGCTCGCCATTGATGTACAGTCTGGCTATTTGGACTTCCCACTGAGGGTCATCCCTGCACCGTGAGGTCAGATCCCTGCATAGGAAGGCCCAGACTCCCTACTCCATTCAGGGCCTGGCCCAGAACTCGAAGCGGGAGCTCGCCAGGTTAGTGCTACAGCCACTGTGCCCTCTGGGGATCCGAGCACAACGAATGGCAGCTCAAGAACCGTTTCAGGAGGTCTCACCTCATCTGAACAAGAAGTAAATGCAAGTGTGGGTGGCGGATGAGGTTGTCTTGGGCAGACAATCACACAGTGGCATTGGGAGACCCTCCTGCTCCATTATATGAATGGGAAAACTGAGGCTCAGAGAGCTACATCACCTTCTGTAGCCAGGAAGTGATGGACAAGGATTAAAACCAGACCAGGCAAGAAATCCATGGTCTTTGCCCTTGCCACAGTGTATGTGTTAATAGCAATATCTTTCTTTACGTTTTTTTAAAAAAGAGAATATTTTGAGAACATAACCAGTGCACACAGTAAAAAAAAAGGGACAAGAGAATGCAGCATGAGCAGTGAGTGCCCCCCACCCATCTCCTGGCCGCTCCTGAGGCCCCATCCCATTCCCAGTCCACATTACAAGGCAGAGATGCAGCTCAGCGACTGCCTAAGCACCATCATTGATCATAATGGCCAGCATCGTTAAGAAAAGGTTCAACTTGATTTAGTGTCATTATTTATTTTTTCCAAGGAATTGAATAGTACATTCTTTAAAGACAGATCTCAGCTGGGCTTGGTAGCTCAGCCTGTCATCCCAGCACTTTGGGAGGCTGAGGCAAGTGGATTGCCTGATCCACGGGTTCGAGACCAGCCCGGGCAACTTGGCAAGACCTCGTCTCTACAATGAATAAAAAACTAGCTGGGTGTGGTAGCGTGCACCTGTAGTTCCAGCTACTTGGAAGGTTGAGGCAGAAGGATTGCCTGAGCCCAGCAGGTCGACGCTGCGGTGGCCATGAGCATGCCACTGCATTCCAGTCTGGGCGACAGAGTGAGACTCCAACTCGAAAAAAAAAAAAAAAGATTTATTTCAAAGAATCATAGGGAGAAAAGTGTTCACTATTTAATACGCTCCTTTCTCAGGCTGTCCACGCCAAGGAGCAGCTGAGGTTGTGTCCAGGTGGAGAGGCCTGTTCCTGTAGGTGGGAGGCCAGATACTTTGTGGGTGCAGACAAAGGAGGGATGTGTGTTTGGGATTCTGATGGCTCAGCCTGCTCATGGGCTTCCTTCCCGTCCCCCTTTCTCCCGCCCTCTACCTGAGAGGTTCCTCTCGCCCTCCTGACTGGTCTCAGAACCTCCCATGACATTTCTGTGCTGGCCCCTTGCCTCACATGTGCTGGGCTTAAGTTCTTAGAAAGTGATCTGAAACCAAATTAACTGGTGACAAGTCAGATACCACAGGGCACCTCCTGATGGGCACAGGTGCCTCCCCCACCTGCCACCCAGGCGGCACTGCCACTGTGGGTGGCACTGCCGCTCTCGAGGGCTTCCTGATGGCAGGGGCAGGAACTCCTCTGCAGGCCAGTGTTTGTGAGCCATCGTCAGGGCCTCTCTTGATGGCCTCAGTGACTTTAACCCGAATTCCCAGTCTCTGATTCTTTCCTTGTGTCTCTTGGGCGCTGGACCACGGTTCATGCTGATCAGTGCCCTCTGTTCTCTCAGAAGCACTGGCATATCCAGGCTGTTGGTGTGTGAATGTCTCTTTGGCCTCCCACTCTGGGCTTCCACAGTAACACCCAGACAGTGGAGAATCTTGGAGGACCCTTCTCTGCAGTTTTCCAGTTTAATGATGCCATGCTTCTCCTTCCCTATAAAACCTTCAGTGAGTCCCAGTGTCTGACTACACCAAACTCACATACATCTGTTATCTAGAGCTGGGCCTTCTGGACAAGTCCAGCTTTCTCTTCCTCTAGGAAAAACTTACTAGGGTCTTGTGGACTTGTTATAGAGCCCCTGAGAATGTGTGCTGAAAGACCCCTTGGGGTGAACTCTTGGTCCAGCTGACCGGAGAGGATGTGGGCCCAAGGGTCACACAGGAGCATGACCCCTCTCCGGCCTTCCTCTCGAGGTCATGGCTGATCCTCCCCTTCCTACAGCCCCTACGGGGCGTGCCATCTGGCAGGGTGCTGCCAGCTGTCAGGAAGCTGGCCCCTGTCCTGCTGGTTTGAGAGGGCTCCCCCTTCCTCTCACAGATCTCTGAATCACAGGCCATCTGCCCGAGGCCTGGCCGGTGGCTGAATGCTTTATGGGGAGTGTTTATAGGGAGATTAATCGGTTCTCTCTCTTTCTCCTTGTCTGTCTCTGTCTCTGTCTCTCGCTCCCCCATTTTCCTCCCCAGGGGGGCTTTCTCTGTGGTCCGACGCTGTGTCAAGCTCTGCACCGGCCATGAGTATGCAGCCAAGATCATCAACACCAAGAAGCTGTCGGCCAGAGGTAGGGCACAGGGAGTGTCCGACGTGGCTGCCATCAGGCTGGGGCAGGGACTTGGGAGACTGTGTCCTGTGGCTTGGGCCATGGGTCCCTCCCAGGCTCAGCCGGCTCCCGGCCCACCCAGCCTGTGGCTTCACACACAGATGGACAGGCTTTGCGGAGTGGAGGCTGCGGTGGGGTGTGGGACATGAGAGTGTTGGGGACTTGAAGGCACTCCTGGCCTGGTGGGACCGGGGGTAGGTGGGGGGCACACCTTTGCTTCCTGGTTTGGGTGTTCACGGGGCCTCCAGTTTGCTTCCCCTTCCTGAGTCTTTTGGGGCCTCTGCTCCCAGAGCTGGATGGGGAGAGGTTCGAGGTGGCCAGGCCACTGTGGTGGTCGGGGAATGTCATCTGCCTCAAGAACAGTGGGCTTGGGAGAACTTAGTGACTCCAAGGCTTAGGGGACCAGACAGTGCTCCGACTGGCTATCTGCCTTCTAAAGGCAGAGTTCTGGCCCTGGGGCCAAGTGGAAGGTGACCTGGCAGTTTCATTTGCTTGTTTGTTTTGACCCTGCAGTTTTTTAACTAATCAGGCCCAAGTCTTCTGCACATCAGAGAAGGTGTGTCCGCCTGCCCTGGGGGACTTCTTGGGCTTGCAGGGTGTGTGCGAGGGAGGATCTCACATGGTGCTGACCCAGGGTGGCCCCGGTGTGTGGACAAGCCCCCATCCCAGGGCTGCCGAGCCCCGCTGGCAATGGCCAGCTCTGGGCACTGCAGGCAGCAGCAGAGCAGACGAATTGCTGCCCTCATGGGTTTGCACCCTGTGAGGCAGGCAGACAACAGAGCCACAAGTCAGCATACAGCGAGTCGGAGGGTGAAGGGCAGAGGCTGCCCTGAGCAGCTGGAGCCACTGTTGTCAGAGCACGGATCTGAGGAGGTGGTGGCAGTGCGGGAAGGGGGCAGGGGTCTCAACCAAGCCCCCAAGGTAGTCAGGCAGGCCCACGGAGGTGGATGTGGAGTAGGTGGGCTGTCTTAGGTGGCAACCCTCTGGTGCTATGGGGGATCCCAGGGGGAGGGGACCTGAGTGATCCCCTTGGAGGGAGCTGAGCAAAGCCCCCATGTCTGCCACTCTCTACCCTCTCTCTTCCAGTACCGCCAGCATCCCTGATTGGCATCCAGGCACAAATCTGAGCTAATTGGGAGCCAGAGAGGCCCTGACCCATCTGGTCCAGGATGCCAGATGCTGTTGGGCTGAATCTGAGCAGAGACTGGCCTCCTCCTCTGGGTTGGTGGTGAGAACCGCCTGCTGTCTGTGGAGCCTACAGTTTACAGTGCTCTAGTGACCTATGGGGGCAGGCAACCCAGCCCACCCCCGTGCAATTGAGTGAGCTATGTGTAGGTGTTGTTTGAGCGCCTACTCTGTATTAGGCTATAGAGCTCAGCAGAGTGTTCCCTCTTCTCGGGAGCATTCTCTGACACCAGGCTGGGGGGAGGACTTGAGGCCCTGGAAGCTCACTCTGCCCTAGCCCTTGTCTGCCTCCTCATCATTGCGCCATGAGGGGGCTTGGTGGTGCCCAAGGCTGGGTCAGTCCCTGTGTTGGGTTCTAAGCCCATGAGAGACTATGGAGGGTGACACTGCAGAGGGCTTGGCATGGACACAGGAAGGAGGTTCAAGGCAGGTTTAGGGACACAAGTTCCTAACTGTCCTCTATATATTTATCAGGGGGACTGTAGGCCTGCGTGTCCTCTCTTCGTTATTCCACATGGGCTGGACACAGGCCACCTGCTGTTGGTCAGCTCTGCTGGTCTCCCTTGGGCCTGGTTCCTGGCTGGATGGATAGGCCTGGGCCTAGGACCCAGGGCAGCAAGCTAGGTTTTTTATGGTCAAGACACAGAACTGGTCTGGAGCTCACAGTGCTTGGGTGCCCATGGCCAGTTCCTATGGGTCTCCAGGGGACATCCTTGCCTGTCATAGGGTGCCAAAGAGAGGCACTCAGTGAAGCTGCCTCGGGGCATGGGTCTGCATATGTGCACACACATGTCTGCATGTACATGCCGTGTGTGTGTGGCTGTGTGGGGTGTGTGGCTATGTGTGCTCATGTTTGAGCATATGTAGGGGCATATGGGTGTGTCCCCCAGTCGAGCTTCCAGAATGAGGCCATCTGGACCTCAGGCAGCTGGGCTGTGACCAGCCAGCCGAGCAAGGAAACTCAGAGGTCCTCCCAGTTCCTGCTTGGGAGGATGCTCCAGATACCTCAAGGGCTTGGAATGAGGCATGGGGTTCTTGGAGGTAGCTCCTGGCTGGGAGGACAGTAAGCAAAGGTGAAGGCCCCAAGCTTCAAGGTCAGCTTTGATAAGCTCCAGGACATTCAGTCAAGCAGGTGGGAGAAGGGGGGAGTGACCCCTACAGCCAGGACTTCAGGCCAGACTCAAGAGCGACATCCAGGAAGGCCCTAGGGACTGAGCTGCATCAGGGGACACCAGTATGAATGTGTCACCAGGAGCAGAGGTTAGAGAGCTGATGTCACCAGGAGCAGAGGTTAGAGAGCTGCTGATTACCAAGGGACCTGGCCGGGGTCCTGGGGTCTCTACTGAACTCCAGACCCTGAATGGCCTGCCATGCCTGGGAACATAGGATCAGAGCGGCCTTCTGCTATGCTCTGAACCCGTGCCTCTGGGCGTCATGGGTCAGTGTGGTCATCTGAGTGGCCAAGTTGTTCCGTGGCTATCCAGGGGCTGCTGCTGGCCTGAGCCTAGGCACAGGAACAGACAAGTTTGGGTCACTCAGTCTGCTGTCCTCTTGGCCCCGGGGAGCGGTTCATGTGTCCCCTGGCATCTGTTGACCTTGCTAGACTCGGTGCCCTGGCATTGCCCAGGGCAGCTATTCTCTAGCAGGCCGGAAACTGAGGTCTGAAGGATTCAGGCCAGGCTCAGGGCCTGTGGCTGCAATAATCATGTTAATCGTGTTAAAGTCAGCACTTACTAAGTGCTTGCTGCATGCATTGCACCGGGACACAGGAAGCTTCCTGCTCCCTGACGTTTGGTGGAGACATAGGTGTGAAGTGTTCTGGTGGGCATCACACACCACACAGGTGAGGTTCCTAAGTCAGGAAGAACGTGAGCCTCACATACCTTGGAGCCTCCCAGATGTCCCCTCTGCCCCTCTTCTCCCTGGATTTTGCAGTGGTCATTCCCTGATTTCTGCCCTTTTGCCACGTTGCTATTCTTCTGCTTGCAGCTGAGTCTGACGGTGGGGCGGCGCTGCCGGGTAATGTTCTGGGGTGTCTGTAGAATGGATCCGTTCACCCCATCGTATGATGTCCTGTTGAACGAAGGCTGCTGTTTCCGCTCTAAGCCAGCCCCTGAAGACATTAGCAGACCCACCAGAACCCGGCAAACAGGAGGCCCTGCTAAATGTGCGAGCAGATTCACTTTGGCAAAAACGCTGCTTGCCAGTCAATTCAATCTTTAAAAGCTTGTGCTGATGTATCAGCCTAAGAAACTGGAATTCATAAGTGGCTTGTATCCCTCCTGCTTCCTTATCCGTTCCAAAGGATGGCAGCCACCCCCCACCCATCTTGGTCCTCATCAGCCTGTCCACCCAAACCTGCGGCCTGGCATGCAGTTCCCAAGGAGAGACCTGTGAGGCCAGCACCCTGCCCAGATCCCTGCCAGGCCTGGTGGCCATCTGCACACTGTGTGGCCTCTTTCTCCACCAATGAAGCCACCTGGGACTTTCCCTCTCTCCCAGGACACCATGACCATGCCAGAGGGCCCATGCAGAGGAGCACTGTGCTAGGGCCTCTCCCTGGGGGTCCTTCCATCCCTGGCGGCTTCTCCTCAGCCAAGGACCATGTGTCTTGTCAGACCCAGAGCTTTCTGGCTTCTCTGTACAATTGGTCTCATTCCTCACTTGTGGAAGGCCATGGGGTTCTGAGAGGGTCCACCCCAGACACCCTAGACATACATCTCACTCACTGACAGATTAATGCCAAGGACACAGCGATAAGCAAATTCACCCTTAAATAAGCAGCTATGACCCTGTGTGCCAGGTGAGGGTCTGGGGGAACTGGTCATGGGAGGTAAGAGAAAGTTATCCCACAATTGCATTGGAATGGGTCTTCAAGGATGAGTAGGAGTTTGTTAGATTCAAACAGAAAACCACCTGAGTATATTTCTATGAAGTCACACAGCTCCTCTAAATTAACCTCACAGTCTCTATTTATACCTTCAAAGTGCCTTACAAGTCAGGAGGCTTTAGGGCAGTGGAAATCTGAAAGTCCAGGCCTGCTCTACCATTACCATGGCTCTTTCTTCTCTCCTGACCACTGCTCTGCAAGCAGCCCACTTGCTGGATGTTCCACTCCTTCTGTTCACCCTCTGATGGTGGCTGAGCCCCTGGAAGACCCCTGTAACTATGAACTTCGGAGCTGGCTGTCTTGCAGTACATTGCACACCTGCCTGTTTCCTCACCTGACACAGTCTGGGTCAGTAGTGGGAGGAAGGGGCTGGTCTGGAATGCTAAGCAGCCAGACCCCATCTGCTACCTTCTTCCCACAGAATCATTGGGGTGGGGGTCTAGCTGTGTGCATCCCCAGAGGGCAGGCTGACACCATCTCTCTTTGCCTCTGGCCACACTCAGGCCCTCCACACAGCGACATGGCTCAGCCCTGCCTGTTTCTTGGGCATTCCCCCCCCCCACCGTTTAACTTTTTATTATGGAAAATTTCAGACATTCTCAAATACAGAGCACATGATAGAATGAATCCAGCTTCAACATTTATCAACTCTCGGCCAGTCTTGTTCCTTCTGTGCCCTAGACCCCAGCATGTTTACTATTCGGTCCATAAATGTTTCAACACATATTTCTAACAGAAAATGTTTCCAAAATCATAGCCACAGTAGCATTATCCTACCAAGAATTCCTTGACATTATCGTGTATGCAACCAATGTTTGTGTTTCTAAGAGTTCAGAGGTTTCCCCAGACTCAGATTGAAGCTGCATGATTGGGTCATCCTGCCCTG